ATATGAGGAGTTTATGGTGAAGAGGATGTAAATAACGCTAGCGCTCGGAGTGCTCTTAAAGATATAACTCTTCAGATCGAGAGAGTACTTACCGACGAATTTGATATCTAGACTAGGTTGTATAGAAACTTTGCCATAAATGGTGTCTGGACATACAATTGCTATAAATGGTGTCTGGACATACAACATTATAAGTTGATAATAGTGTTGTAAAATATGTTCCTTTATTTGATTTCATTTTTAGGATCATATTTTATTTTTTTAGCTTTTTTCAATTTGGTTTTCTTTCAATTTTAAGATTTTGTTAAAAAATACTGTTTTTATTTTATTTAATATCTAGAAACTACTTTCTTCTTTTTTGATTAAATTTTTCTCCTTTTCTGATTATTAAAAATAATATTATGAAAGGAAAAAAATATATGTATATTTTTTAAGTTAATTTTAATTTTTAAAAATATGTTTATTTATTTTCGCTTTATTTTCATTTTACATATTTTTAAATTTTATCGTTTTAAAACAAAAAATATAGATATGTATTTTTTATTTAATTTAATTTGTAATAAACTTTTTGCTAAAAGGTAATCAGCATATACCCCCATCTTAGCAGTTCTTTCAATTAGACTTTCGAAAGGCAGTAAAGAGCTTTCAAGAGCTTTCGAAAGACTGTGGTGAGTTGACAGTTGCCAGAATCGCCGTGTCCTATTTTACGAAAATATAAAAACATGGAAATCATTGAAACTCTTCAAGCAATAAACAGACATTGGTAATTATTTTATTTTTAGGGTTTTTTACATAAAATACTGGTGACAGGTAGTAAGGTCAATGGAAATGAGGTCAATTGACTTTATTTCCCACCAAATGGAAATAACGTCAACAATGCTTAAAATATGTCGATTCATAGAAAAAAATGTTGTTCTTACAATAAACATTGCCCCGTAAGTATTGTTTTTTAATAGATGAAAAAGGTTATTGCCAAATCCTCAGTGTTGTGATATTAATCCACACACAATCATGAACTACCACCAATTGATTTTATTAAAAAAATTACGAATATGTAAAAACACGATGCGAAAAACGAAAGGCTTGCGCACAGCTGGAATACGAGAAATATTTGAAGAAAGAGTGTAGAAATGATCCATAACTTGCAAAACATGTTTCGTTTCCACAAAAATAAAGCGAACACTATTAAATTGAAGAAACAGTCCATGTCCAAAAACCCCGGAGGAACACTGAAAGAATTCTGTGTTTTAAATTAGCATATTTTGAACGAATTCGGAATGTCTAAGGTGGAAAAAAAACCAACTTTTCTATAAGGAAACAATTATAGAAAAAGAATTTTCTTACACTGTATTCATGTCTCCGCCAGCAATTTGTGACGACATCTTTTAAAACCAGCTAAGGAGAATGACGACACTATTTATTAGATGGCACATTCAACGAGCCAATGTGCCAAAATGCCAAATGTGTGTTTATACCCCCATTATTGATTATTTAATATCGGAACCGAGATCATATAAGTTAATTGATTGGTTTTCACACACTTTTGAAACACAAATTATATGCTTTTCTACTGCAGACAAGTTGTTGCCCCAAAGCACAGCAGAAATCTTCCAATCAGGGCTGCCTACTATCCTTAGTTATGAGGTGCCATATTGAGGATAAAAAAGTGCCAAAATGTGCCAAATAGAAAAATAAAAGTGCCAAAAAAGGTGTCATTCCTTTTAATCATTCACATTTAACAATAAAATAAAGCTACATTTTTCAAACAAAAGTGCAATGATAAAATAAGATAAACCAGTTGAATAGCCTTTATAAATTAGAAAATTTTAGTTGAGAAAAAGAAGTGCACGCAAAGGATTTCACAAAAATGTATTGAAATGTTATTTTTTTTTTAAAGTCCCATTTCGGCACTTTGTGCCAAATTGAAAAATTAAGTGCCATTTGAAGTAAAATAGGGACAAATGGCGCGGTTTGAGCCAAGTTGGCATCCCTGCTTCCAATAACTTACAAATATAATAAGGTGAAACATCGAGGGCTTGAATTCATGAATACCCTCTATCTGCAATTTGCACAAAAACTAATTTGTGATTTTAGAAACCATCTGGGACTTATTACCTGTCGTTATATAAGGTAACATTAATATCACTGATGACAGTTAAAGCTAAGGTGGATTTTTATATCAGAATCTCATCTTTGTGAAAAGTGTGCAGATAGAGGGTATTTTATTGAGTATAAGCCCTCGATGTTTAAAATATATAAAAATTTTATTTCACCGTATACAAAAAATAAATCTGCCTGTGTTACAGCACGGCGGGAGACGGGAAAGGGGGGCCGGGGCCCGCTACGTAGCGTGACGTGGTGTGCGCGCCGGTCGCGCGGGGTACGCGAGGTGCGAGCGCGATCAAATTTAATGTTTGAAAGGGAAATAATGTCAATGGATTTTATTTCGTTTTTAAAAAGGTAATAATGTCAATTGACTTTATTTCGCACCAGGGTGGGAAATAAAGTCAATTGACCTTATTTCCGTTGATCTTATTACCTGTCACCAAAATACTGTGTGGCATGCGGGAAATATTTAGCTTTTTTTTTAGATTTTTTTCATTGTTTAATGCATAGATGGGCACACCAATACAGTCTCATTTTGTCATGGTATTCGTGAATCGCGCTGAGTAACAGTTGCCACTTTTCTATATTGTACAAAAGTGCGTAGTTTTTTGCGCGTGTTAGAAAACGCTCTTACAAATTTATATTTAATTTGTATTATGAACATGAAACGAAAATAATAAAATATAATAAAATAATGAAGAAATAATTTCAAATAATGAATTATGAAATTAATTTTTATAAGTACATATGTACGTGCATGAAAAGTTTTTTAATTTAATTTCATTAAACTAATGTTTTAAAAAATGATAGTTTATTCAACAACAAAATTCACGAATTTAAAATTTCTAAACTGTGTATTCAACTCTTCAACTTAAACTCAGTATTCAATAAAGTATACTAAATATATTAAATTGCCGTATCGTACATACATATATACATAAAACCCATTACAAAAAACTTTAAATTGGTTTACACAGTTCGGCAGTTTGACTTTTTTACCATGACAAATAATGTCGCCTTATATTAAAAGTACGATTCCAAGTAGTCGTATTACCACATAACAAGCATTGGGCGTTATTGGCTTTTTTTAAAACCAAAAACTGTAATTGGCACTCATACGCAGCCACTTTGGGCATTGTTACATATATAGGTGGCAACAACGCGCTAAAATTACGAATAAAAATATTCAACGGCGAAGCGTGGTGTCACTCTCATGAAAACTGAAAGCAGACTGAATTGAAATTCGCTGCGTCGTTTCTGTATACGTATAAGCGCTGCGACGCAGACGCTACTCGCGAGTAGCGTTTTGCCCATCATTGGTTTAATGGTTCAAAATGTTTTTCAATGTTGATTACACAGGTTTGCAAAAAAAAAGTTTATGCTTAGTTCGTGGTCAGTTGAAGGTCAGTTAGAGGAAAATTCATTAATAAACCTAAAAATTCATATATATGGGGTTTTAGACTCGCTGAACCCGAGTTCGAGGCCCGTTAACCTCCATAATGTCAGCTTCGAGGTCATTTGAGGGTCAAATAGGACAAAGAATTTATATTCAATAAAAATAAGAACGTTTGTTTTTGTTGTCGCTGAATCCGAATATCGGGCCCTTGATTCCTCAAGGTCATGCCAAGGCCATCCCAAGGTCAAATTCAGATGAATTGTATTGAATATTCGGGTTTATTCAACGAATTTTTCCCTACTTGGCATTCAAGTGACAACGAACCTGACGTGATTGAGGCTAACTGGCTAACTGACGGATTCGCATTCAGCGTGTCGAATAACATAGGGATATGTAGGTTTGGTTTAATATGCATAAACTTTTTTTTGTAAATCTGTGATCGAATAACCTGAGCGGGAACAAATATTTTTATAGTATAGAGTAGGTATAATATATCAAAGAAATACCGTTCGCAAAGTAAAACAAAACGGCTTACAATAATAAAAAAACAGTTTTGTTAGTGGATCGTTTTTGGATAAAATAATTTAAAAACGGGGGACAAAAAATAGCACTTTGTATGGTGCCAAACCACTCTGCCATGATATTTTTGCATTCAAACAGAAAACCACATTTGCCCATTACTGTCCTAAAACGCGCGAAAATAAATTTGCGAGCTATTACTGTCTTGTCTGTTATGGCAGGGTGCTAGTTGCATCAAAATTTATTTCAGACTTTTCCTCTCCCGCCTAAAAAAACAGGTGTCATACAGCATGATGCATAGTGGTATTCGGGTCAATGTCTCTATTCAATCCCGTCGAAGGGTACGCTTTTTGACTAGTAAATACATACATAATAATCAGCTGATGAATTTGGTTCTGTAGCTGAATAGTTTTAGATCTCGACACTTAACAAACTCCTGCCTTTCGTGAATCGGCGCAAAAAAAACAAATTTCAGTACATCATGCGGAATTAGCTCGGATGACGGAAGGAGGGCAACCGTTGGGATTAATAATAATAATAGAGGTATTCACAAGGATGTATTCATAATAGTCATATAAAATTTCTCATTGCCAAAAACATTTTCTTATGATTTCGATTCCTTTAAACTTTAGGACATAAGATAATACGACACCTTGTGAATTACTTAAATATAATTTNTTCATAATAGTCATATAAAATTTCTCATTGCCAAAAACATTTTCTTATGAATTCGATTCCTTTAAACTTTAGGACATAAGATAATACGACACCTTGTGAATTACTTAAATATAATTGGAAGTCATTCATGTATCTAATATTTACACATGTTTCACATGTATGCTTGAAATCCTCTTAGTGGTATATGTACCTCGCCAAAATTGTATTCATTTCACATACAATTTGCTTTACATATGTATTTGCGTGAAAAATTCGTGTCTCAATTATAAAAGCACCTTCTTGAATTGATCTTTTATTTTTTAGGAGGGTCCACATTCCACGCTTCCCGAAGATGAGTTCTTTGATGCCGTTGAAACTGGCCTGGAAAAAATCGAGGAAGACATGCAACTTCGCGCTAAGCTAAAGTTGCAGTCGCAGCAATCTTTGACGGTGGCGCAAGCACCGCATCAAGTCCAGCTTGAAGGAAACACTCCCAGCCTGGAAGAGTTCGGCACTGGCGGATTAGCCAGAAGTCACATACTGTGGCCGGAGGTAATTTCACAAAGAATGTAAAGCACCAAGTTAAGTTTTTCACAATTATTATTTCAAAATTGGTGGCTTCATTTTAGATCGATCGTGTTTGCAGTGAACAGTTGCGATATGCTCGCGAAGGAGTTGGTGAGGGTGGTAACGGTTGGCAAATATTTGCTGATGAAGGTGAAATAAAAATGTACAAGCGAGAAGAAGAAGTAAATGGATTAGTTATGGATCCCTTGAAAGCATATCACAGCGTTAATGGGGTTACAGCACGTGAAATGTGCCATTACTTCTTCATGCCCGAGTTTCGCAATGAGTGGGAGAGTAAGTGCGGAGTAGTTGTTCAAACTATTTACATTTCTGGGATTTATAATACAATTATTTCGTACACTTGTAGCCACTCTTGAAGACTGCACCATTCTAGAAAAAATTTCGCCCGACACATTCGTCTTCTTACAAACACATAAACGTATATGGCCTGCCAGTCAACGAGATGCCCTTTTTTGGTCACATATGCGTAAAATTACAGATGGACTTGATGAGGACGCTGTAGATATGTGGGTCGTTTGTAATAACTCCACGGATTACTCTAAACAGGAAGTTAGTTTTGACCTTATTACCCAGTAACAAAATAAATCATTTTCACTAGTGTTTCTTCTCGATATATAGAGATATAAATCAAATACAATCATAGCTAACTACTATATTTAAAATGTCCTTCCTCCAGAAGAATTTTATATTCATGCTTTCGCTTATTCAATATTGGCGTCCGTCGATGACATTTGGTAGATGTCTTATTCGGAAGTTTTTCTATTAAAACCCCACTTAAAGGCTCTTATGCCAGCCATCGAACTAGGGGAAAAAGCAAATAACTGCTATGAAAGGCGATTAGACGGTCACTTATAAATTAAGCAACGCAGAACTATTAGCAAAAAAATTATAAGCCACCTTCAGAACACTGTCTTTAGGTTATCCAATTTTTGTACAGGTTTCGTGTTTCTTGTGAAGAAGACTACTAGAAACTTCTAAGCTGAGCATATTTGAATGTCGTAACACTGTATAACGCTAATACCACAGCGTATGGTGTAATTTCCTTATATCCTGGTTTGCCCGTTATCGATTACTTCTGCCGATAATGTATAAAACGCCTTCTATGGAGTGAAAAACATATGATGCAAATATAAGACATATTTGTAGATATGTAGGTACATACGATGTCTACAATTAAAAAAAGTATCTTAAAGATTCCGATGCACCAATTTCAAATAACTGTATTTTATTTCTGTTCATCCGGCGATCATATCAATTCATAAGATTAAAATTTTTGATACTCGTATTTGCTGAGCTCGGAAGTCATAAAAGTGAAAAAGACATATTTGAGACTGACTGATATCTTAAAGTTTATTTCTTAAAAAAATGGATAGGTACATTTTGAATAATTCGGTAATTCCTTTTGTAAATTCTAGTCAAAAAATGGCAAATGCGTTCGCATTTTTCTGACCGTAATTTTAGCCTGCCAGACACGTTTACCCCCTGGAAAAACAAAAAATGATGATCTTAGTCGCGACGAATTAGCTTGTAAAATCACATATTGCTCTGTTGGTGAGTGCCGAAAATGTGTTTAATTACTAATTCCAAACACATATTTTCGATTTTTTAATTGTTCCTTCATTGCAGTCAATCCTGGTGGTTGGGCGCCTGCTTCCGCTTTGCGAGCCGTTTACAAGCGCGAGTATCCTAAGTTCCTGAAACGTTTTACCGGATATGTGATAGATCAATGCAAGAACAAACCAATAATGTTCTGATATTAGCAGTCATTTCCTTAAACAATGTTTTCCAACTGTAATGGATTTGAGTGAAAAATTTTTGTTAACATATCTTTTCAGTTTCCATTTTTTTGTTGATAATAAGAAGAAATAACATTTAAAACATAAAACTACCGTTCGGTTGATCCTCGAAAGAAAATAAGCGTATAATAACATTTTACTCAGTACGAGGGTTTGAGGCTTCTTTATATCGATGGCTGAGTGGAAGATCGACCTATCTCGCCTGCCAGTTCGAAAACGCTCTATCTCAAAAAATTTTCAAGAACGCCCTATTTCAGAATTTTATTGAGAAACACCCTATCTCAAAATTCGGTTCAAAAACGCCCTATCTCACTTCAAAATGTATTGAAAATATGCTGATATAGGGCGTTTTTGAATCGGCAACTGAGATAGAGCGTTTTTGAAACGAATTCTGAAATAGGGCGTTCTTGAAAAGTTTTTTGAGGTAGAATGTTTTCGAACTGGCTGCCGATATAGGTCGATCTTCCACTCAGCCATCGATATGTTAACTACAAATTTTTAAACACGCATGGAAAGTGTGAATATAAACATACATTCTNTCAGCCATCGATATGTTAACTACAAATTTTTAAACACGCATGGAAAGTGTAAATATAAACATACATAC